TATTTAATTAATGAAATAAGGTACTTGATGTAATTATGAATATAAGTAGGTCATGAGCAATGCGCATAAACAAAATATATGGCAAGGACATGTATAACAAGCGAAATATAAAAGAATGTAATTTCGACTCATCTCAGACAGTAGCTATAGTGAAGTAACCAGTCATGCTGTACACACTAAGTTACCGTTCATGTTTTCCTTCTGTTTTTCTCACTTTTTCAGAATCCAGAACTGTCTGACGTTTCCTTGAAAAGCATAACACAACCATCAATGAACACCACATTAGTTTTATGTATTACACTGTATTGTAACAAGTTATTTAAGTAACTTGTTGTAACCTGACACTTCAGTCTACTTGAAACTGAGCTAATACAACTATTCAGTAATTTTAACTAATAAAGCAACTTCTATACCAACAAACAAGCCCCTCCCCTCACTGATGCCCCCACCCCCGAGCTGTGGACAACAAAAATCCTGTAAAATCTTGAGTCCACGTGGAAAGAGATTATTTGCAACAGATAGTCAACGGAAAGATTTAATGAAAGCATGGCACATGTACGGTAGTGAAATGTTACTGGATTTACTGAAAGTTTAATTATATGTACAGTGCAATATGTTGTCTTTTGCCACAATGCCATCCACAACTAGTTCAACTTTTTAGACAGTGGTTGAGATTGAAAAAAATTTTAGTCGCCCAAGTCCAACCATGGAACTAAGATCTGGTCGCCAAATTTAACATACAGTCGCGCTATATCATTGACAAACACAAATAAACAAACTGACGTCAACAAGATATCAAAAGCTCTATAACTAAGGGAAGAAGACCTGTGTTGATCGATTATTTTTAATAAGACTCGATGTAATGATCTATAAAACATATAAAATTTCAGCTTTTGTATTTTTATTTTACAAATTCTGTGACGTCACATGAAACCCCTCTATTACGTAATAATTATATCATACGTAATAGTAACAAATTGTGAAACTCTGAGACTCCAGGATCTGTGTTCTAATCTAAACTCACCCCCTCCATACCACCCTATTAGATCTGTTTGATTCCAACATAACTTCAAACGTACAAGTTCAAGTTATCAATGACAATGCTGTTGAACGTTTGTGATTGCTTATAATCCAACGGCCCGGCATGCAAATATACGGTCCTATAATTCGCCATTTCAAACAGGGAAGCTATCTTTGGAAAATATCTGGCAACGAGCCAACGAATCATACGAGGCATATAGGAGCTATAGTAGCGAGCCATGAATCATGATTGCGAGCCATGCAAGTCACATATGCATGTGCGAGGCATTCATACAAATCTTGGCACAACACGCACCACTTGGAAGAGAATATGCAGAAATTGATACGATTACATCATTTGATATGTAAACACAAGCCCTTTCCGGTATGGTTCTCGTAAAAATTTCTCTTTCTTTTCCCCACAAAGATTTGAGATTTCACATCGCCGCCTTTATCATGTACACTGTAACCTACAGTATATTTTCGTACAAGTTTGCTTTCCTTGCTCCATATAGTAGTGCATTAATTAATACAATTTGAACTATATCTCGTACTACACACGTAAAAATCTCACAACTTGCAGCAAGTCTGCTAACAAGCCATCAACAAGTTGTGTTCGCACTGCTTGTTCCAAGTTGTCAACAAGTTTGGAACAAGCTGTTAACAACTTGTAACAAGCTTGATGACATTATCAGACTTGTTGCAAGGTTGTTCCAATAAGTCCGATACAGTCATGATATACCAATATTGTAACATTCTTGTTATATCATGACTGTATCAGACTTGTTAGAACAACCTTGCAACAAGTCTGATAATGCCATCAAGCTTGTTACAAGTTGTTAACAGCTTGTTCCAAACTTGTTACAACAACTGGGAACAAGTAAAATTACGGGAAGCTAGGAGAGCCTTGCTCGAAACGTTGAATTATAATTTACTTGTATTTTTCATTTCAATCCGCAGCTGGCTGGTGTTATTGTCACTACCTATAGCTATACGCTGGCACAGACCGTTCTAGCCTGCGCCACAGACGCTCGTGCATTTGCGGAAACTCGGGAAAGGAGGGCGCTTCATTTGTTTATCACAATTACGCGCCAGACTATACAGTACTACAAAGGTGGCGGTCTCGTCAAAGATTTCTGCATACAATTGCATACAGAAAGTATGCAGCAAGCAGGCGCTCTTGAATTTTGGTTTATAACGTTTGTTTAATTAAGGTTTTCCCCTTACAACTATAGTAACACTGTACCAATGAAAGATGGTCCTTAGCCTGAAAAGAGTTTACAACTGATCCCTTCAACAATCAGTTATATCGAGTGAGATGCCCAAAATCTAATATTTTTTTTAGAACTGATTGTATAATATAAGCAAAGATTTCCTAGCTCCATGAGACCTGTACTTACATAATAAAAGGATTAAGTATTTTTTTATAATAAACGGCTATTAAGTATTGTTCAGAAAAATGCTGGCAAAATATTTCAAATCCTACAGACAGGATGTCTGCATGTATTCCCTCACAAGCTTGCAATAATTGTTAGTTATATGCATGTAGTATTGAAATTCTTCACACACCGACTATAGATGCTTCGCAAGATATCAGTTTGAATCCTTCTCAATTCAGTTTGAGAATTTTACCCTCCCATCGTTGCGACGTCCCTAGCCGATAAACTTTTTAAACTGTATAAGAAAATGGCGGGTTTGCGGAATAGATCCCCTGTGTATACCGAAAGACAAAGAAATACTATACAGGGTCTCCCAAAACAACCGAAAACTATTGAAATCACCAATAACGGTTTAATTGTTAGAATTTGAATGCCTTAGCACGCTCACTGTTGGTTCCCACAATTTTTGAAAGTTAATAAAACAGCCAATGAGAGCAAATTTTGAAAGATATGTAGACCAAATAACTCAAAATGCTATAGCGCTTCTAAATGTTTGGAAAATTTAAACTAGGATCAAAGTTATCGGTCAGTGAAAATCGAAAAATCGCCTCGCGTTTGGACCTTTATGATGCGATATGCACTTATAGCGATAAGCGGCGAGCTGAAGGAAGATGCAGCAAGCGTAACGGACTCGAAACTTCCGGTGAAATTGCTTGTAATACAGTAGTTTCTTATATTAATGACAACACAGACTCGAGCTGGGGCAGTTCTGAACTGAGTATCAAAATGAACACAGCAAACTTTGCATTGATCGTTTTCTTTGGAATTTTTTATTTTGTTTCAAGGTACGTATATCGACACTATCAACATTCAATGTGTTTATAGGTTGGTACAGATCCGAATTCGACCTAGCTTCTGTCCAGTTAGCTGGATGCAGATCAGTCTGACAAACATTTCAACAGGGTTTGATGTACAGTAGATTGACTTTGTTCTGAGTCTCAGGTAAACATGTAAAGTGTAAACGTTCACTCGCGACTGGACTAATTTATATCGAGTGAGTGCGCAAATTCGTCCGGGTCCTGTTCGTTCACACGGGGAATTCGTTACCGTTCGGCCGGTGTGCATGCATGTGCTCGAATTAATTCGCCTGGTTTTAAGCATATATCAATGGTATCATGTCATTCATGTGAACTGGAAAAGCGCTGCAATCGTGCAAATTTCCTCATATTAAGTTTTCTCATATTTTCATCACTTATAGTTAACTTTTTCTTTAGTGTCAAATGCCTTTCATTCGATAACAAGGAAGTTTTTTTGACAAAGAGAAGCTCAAGCAACGCAGGGCAATGTGGTTTGAAACCCGACATTAAAGAATTAAAAGATCTTCTGCTTGAAGTCAAGAATGAAATCAGTGATCTGAAAGATGAATTTAGTCACGAAATGAAAGCTTTGTGGAAATACATTAATGCGGGGAAATGTCACAAGCAAATTACGGATAAAAACCAAGGCAAGTATACCGCGTTTTGTATGCATTGTAACTAGCTCGAATACAATAAATAATTTATTTATGTTGGTTGAATTCCTTATATATAAATTTTCCGAAAGAGGTCACGTTTATTAATACTGGTTATGTTAAGATTGGTTTAGGATTACATTTAAGATCTAGGGCTAGGCTAGTGTTATGGGTTAGGATTAATTAAGATTAGGATTATTAAGTAAGATACGGTTTATGATTAAAGGTCATTAAAGCTACAATCTTAGACAATAATAATAATTCACATCAAGGTGGCTCGATATAGTTTTTTAAAAATGGAAAATTCATGATTTAGATCAATATTTTTGAGAATTATTACTTGTTGAAAAACATAAAGTATCTTACTGATTTAAAACAGCATCTAAATTAAGGGTTTGTATTTTTTACAAAAATTAAGCAACTGCTGTTGCTATGGCAACAACGACGTTTCAAAATCGTGGATATTTTGGCTTTAAAGTAATCCCCGAGCCAACGGCGAGGAGCGCTTTTCCGGGCGTAAGCCCGGGGCAAAGGTACTAATTCCGCACGGCTATTTACCCCCGGGGAAAGGAAAGCATTAGTGAAGTCTAATGTTCATCAATAATCGTGGCGTCGTGGGCGCATGGCTATGGTTCACTATCATGTTTTATTGAATTTTAAACTATTTTAGTCATTTTTATGCCTATTACCACTAATTATTGGGCCTGCTATGGTTTAAGAACATTCTTTAAAAAGCGCTTTGTGAAGCGTTTGTGGCTGAAATTTAAGTGATAGCATATCTAACATATTTATTTTGGGGGAAATTGAGGGATATTTTTGAGGGGGCTTTTCAATTTTAAAAACATTCTTAATAAAATTATCGTGTTACCATGTCCATGTTCGGAAAATATAGTGGTTTTGCCAGCAAGGCTAGGGGTTTCTGCATGCATGCATGTATTTCTAGTTCAACTCGTAAACGACATCGGTAACCCCCAAATTTTATTTCACAAAACGATTTATTTTAGTATACCAGGTATTGCTAGGTATTGTTTTACATCCATAATACTCCTTTTATTTTCCAACAAGTAATAACTGTCCAAAAATACGGATCTAAATCGTGAATTTTCCATTTTCTAAAACTGTATCAAGCCACCTTAATATAGAAATTTACGTAAGTTACACAAATACAATTTTCTTTTTTTAAAATAATTTAGCATATTATGCTAAAGTGGCTAAATTAACCGTGAGGTTTTCTAGTAAGCCACTATAGTCATTATCAGTTACTATTTTATCATGTATAGCAAATTTTAAAAGATATAGTGAGTAGTAGACGAATTTGTGATAGCTGCATATGTAGATTTGTAAGTTGTTACAATAAATTGTTTTCTAGAGAAATTGCTTAACATTTTTGGAAAAAGAAAAGATTTTTAGTTCTTTTGTTTTAGAAAGTTCGTGCAGCATGCCAGTATTCAATTGGCATATATAATGTTTTGAAATTTTGCTCAGAAGAATATCTGGTATTATAGGAATGTATATTAGCTACGGTAAATTTGCGTGACTGAAGAAATTTTGGAATGCTAGCGGCAATTTTTGCTTGTGCCAAAGTTTAGAAGATAAGAACTCAATGTTGTTAATGTAGAAATTGACCTAATACGTTTCTTCTCCGATAGTGTGCAGTGAACCAAAGGGACTTGGTATGCGAAATGGTCTGATCAGTGACTCACAAATCTCGGCGTCATCTCAGTGGGATAGCAACCACAGCCCAAGCAATAGCAGACTGTTCTATGCACCCCATAATGGTAGAACAGGAGCTTGGTCGTCCAAAACAAATGATATCAATCAATGGTTACAGATTGATTTTAAGCAACTAACTGCCATAGTTGGAGTCAATACCCAGGGGAGAGCAGGAAATACTGAGTTTGTTAAAAGCTACACACTGTCGTACAGGCAAGATGGACTGTCATTCCAAGCCTATAAACCTCATGGTCTTCTCAAGGTACTAAATATATATTCAAACGCTCATTAATAATTCTTATGCTTATTGGCAAATCATGTCAACTATAATATGTCGCATGCAGTGGCTTTAAACCTGATAAAACACTCCTAATCATTACTTCTTTATGTAAAGAATACTAATAAGGCAGTATCTATTGTAGTCGTGTCCTCATGCATTAGTATTCTTTATATAAATAATACTATCGTTTTTTTATCAGGTCTAAAGCCACTCGCGCTGCACGCTCGTGACTTTAAACCAATAATAAAACACTACTGCTCGTTTATTAAACAGTACGTGACAGATCATACCTATAATTTCATGAATTTCTATCACTGCACAGCAATAGTTAGGGTCTGCCAGTCCGGGGACTGAATATAGCCTGAATGTGGAAATAACTGATATGATATAAACCAGGGTGAATCCCATTAAATTTCTGATGAGAGATTCTAAACTCAGTTTGCATGGTTCTCTTAAGCTTGGTGCTAAGGACATTTAGGTACTAAGAATTTATCACAACAAATGTCACCACTGCACATATTTACTGTTCATCAATGCACATTTTCACTATATTACTGCTGACATTGGTTGTCACTGCACATTAAAATTGGGTATGTTATAGATCATTTATCAATTATACAACTTATAATTAGTACGAAATCTTAAAACTGTAAATGTAATGTACGTTTTTCGATATGTTTCTTTGTACTCGAGATATTTCAATTTGTTTGATATGTAAAAGAAGTAAATCTGTGACGTCATTGGCAGGATAAATATTTTGAAACAAAACTTCTGACGGTACTACAAACTTAATCATCATAATTTGGCCGCACCATTTATTGCCTTGTCAATCTCATATTCCATGATAAATATCAACAATGAAACTTGTATTTCAAGACTTACACAGATATATAAAAAATGTAAAATAATTAACTTGTATAAGTTGATCGTTATGTTTGCGTATTTGAAAATGTACTTCCATTGATAATGTAATACTTCCAATATAAATTTTATGGTAATGATGATAGTAATAATATGTGTAATGAAACTACAATTTCTATAGAAGTAACCATATAATATATATATAATATATATATATATATACCGGGTGGCCCAAAAAAAAGTACTCCTGTTTGATTCGTAATAACATCTAAACAAGTATAGCTTTTAAAGAGAAATAACTTGCATCAAATAGAGGAAGGACTAACTTAGACTTTGATATATTACAGTTGTATTTCACTTAAAAATTCACGGAGATATTAATCTTTAAATTCGGGAGGATATTTCTTGATGTGTCTGAAATATGCAAAAATCGGCGTATCAAATATTAATCAAGATTTGCCCGACTGAAACATGCACTATTACCAGTAAATAAATGACACTTGACAAATTGTTTATTATGAAACAAAGTATTATTATATCTATTAATCCTGCTCTAACCGAGAAATAATCAACTTTGTTTTGAACCCATGAAAAACATAAAAAAATAGGTTATTTAAGAAAAATTGAAGCGCCTGTCTTGCATGGTCTTTCAGTACCTTAAGTTTGCAAAGACCTATTAAATACTTACATAATTTCGAACGTTCATATTTCAGGAAACAATAAGTTAAGACTTACAAGTAAGATGTCTAAATCTACGCCATATCCCTTACAAACCCTAACGACAATTCGCTGAAATACAATTTACCCTGATATGTCATTAAGCAAACAAACGCTGGAGTGAAAATTTGATACGCCGATTTTCGCTAATTTTAGACACATCCCAAAATATGCTCCCGATTTTGAACATTAATATCTCCGTGAATTTTTAAGTAAAATACAACTGTAACATATCAAAATCTAAGTTAGTCCTTCCTCTATTTAATGCAAGTTATTTCTGTTTGATAGCTTTACTTGTTTAGAAGTTATTATAAATCAAACAGGAGTACTTTTTTTTGGGCCACCCGGTATATATAATATATATATATATATATATATATATATATATATATATATATATATATATATATATATATATATATATATATATATATATATATATATATATATATATATATATATATATATATATATATATATATATATATATATATATATGTAAAGTTTACTTGTGAAACTCGTTGATAATTCAAGAAAATTCAAAAGAAATCAATGTTTAATGAACATTATACAAAATTCTCTTGATTTTCATAAACCTCTTCGTTGATTTTCTCAGTTAAAATCAATTCTTTTTTAAATAATTTCTTTAAAACAAAACTGTTGAAATTCTTACGTTTGACGAGCTATAATAATACAGCAATCGCGCCCGTTTTATATGACTGATACCACACGGCCGGTCATGATGTATTTGTATATATACAAAGTGTATAAAAAAACTGAAGAGATTTAAAATTGCTCTCAATTTCGCAAAACAGCGCATGGTATCAAGGTATATAGATTCCTTGAGTAGAACTAATAATTCCATAATGTAGAACTAAAATTGTGTAAACCAGGGGGTGTTTCTTTTCCAACAAATTAAAAATGGCTTGCGCACGAAATTCAAAAGCTTTGATCGTATTTTGAATTAATGGATGGAAAATGTGTTGGGATTTTAATTACTGTACAAAATTTCAGACAATTTGCTTTAGTTTAAGCCCCAAAACTATTAATTTTTTTCTAAAAAAATCAGCCTTTCGAATGCTTAATGTCTTTACTTAATTTGCATATTGCTGACATATGCAAATTAGGCAAAGGTATAAATAAGCATGCAAAAGGCTGACTTTTTTAAAAAAAATGTAAGTTTGCGTGAATAGTTAAAGGGCTTAAACTGAAGCAAATTGTCTCAAATTTTGTGAAGCAATTAAACACCCAACACATTTTTCACCCATTAACTCAAAATACAATTAGCTTTTAAATCTCGTGCGCAAGCCATTTTAATTTAGTTTGTTGGAACTGAAACACTCCCCCCCCCCCCATGCTTTACAAAACTTGAGTTCGAGAATGTTTTTTCATTAATCATTATTCTACATTATAAGTACCCAAAGAAGCTACACATATCAAAAACTGGATACTAATACATGTTTTGCGAAATTGAGAGCAATTTCAAATCTGTTCAGTTCTTTTATACACCCTGTATATTACCTATATATAATATTACTTAGATTTTGTAATGAGATTTCTGTCGACAGTATCACATTATACGACATGCAGTAACTATATACGTTATTTTTCATATTTTTCATATCACTATATGTTTTCAAGTTAATTGAATTGACAAGAGCCATGCATATGTAAAGAAATATAATGATTATATATCAATAGTCGAAGTCGCATTTTTCTAGTGTTTTATTGGTTGAGAGCATATCACGTGAGAGTGACGAAATTAGGCTGTCTCCCTCGCAACAGCGCGAGAGGGAGATAATACGTTATCGACCGGCGAATAACAAAAAAATCACGTGCGCCATCACGTGAAGATGCGACCTTTGGACATGCCTAGTATACGTAATTAAAACTTTCGCTTTAAGTATTGACTGCAGTGTAGCCAGTGTTTAATATAACGTTTTAACAATAAAATATTTCATGTATTTACGTTCATTTGTTCTTTAATTTGTTGTTTCTTTGACTATTGATATATAATAAAACACTTATTTACTGAGACCTCGGGAAAGCAGTGTGTATCTCGGGTCCACAAAACACACTGTTTCCCTCGGTCTCAGTAAATAAGTGATAAGTATATCATGTACAATATAACTGTTATTTTTTAATCTAATTCTCTTCATAACATGCAGGTATTTAACAGCAATACCGATATAGATTCAGTTGTTCATCACAGTCTACCCAAAGCAATTACTGCCAGATATATCCGAGTTCATCCTAAAACCTGGCATGGTCACATTTCTATGAGGGTGGAATTCCATGGATGTTACATAGGTAAATATATACTAGCTTTTACATCACCAATATACAACCATGAGGCCATGAGAACTTTCAAGTGCAAAATGCCGAACTATCATAATCAGATTTCTTAACAAATAAGAATTAAAATAGTTAGAGCTATCTATATATACGTATATCAAGAAATTAGCTTGAGACGTCTGTTGTTTCTCTCAATTAGCCTTTCTCACGGACGATTTTCCGCCATTTTCGGGGTACTGCCTCTCCAACGTTTGAGAGTCTCCGCACCACGAAATGCGACTTTCTAGTATTATACTTGTTTGTATAATGGTAAATTTACAGTTACAACTTTTAAAAGTCGCTTTTCACGTTGTTTGAATTGTCTAGAATTTTTCATGAGGACAGACAGTACCCCCAAAGTGGCGGATTTTGGCCTCCGTGACAAAGGCTAATTCATTCATAGTTATTGGAGTACTGACTTGGGATCTTTTTACTGTTCCTCTTAATTCGTATACTTACGCCCGTATTCCAAAAGCTCACTCACACTCGTACTCAATGAGCGGAAGTTCAATCTGAGCCTCTCTGGAGTGTCATTGCTGTTTTTGAGTAGCTGGAGGGTTCACCCTCCAGCTATTCAAAAACAGCATTGACACTCAAGAGAAGCTCAGATTGAACCTCTACTCATTGAGTGTGAGTGTGCATGAGTGAGATTTTAGAATACAGGCGTTATTACACTGGCCTGTAGGCCAAGTGTCTTAAATCCCTCTTTTTCTGTTTTTTTCGTAGTCGAGAAATCGAGTTTGCGTTAGGTCATCGCTGGCTCAGGGTGCAGCGTGCTACAGTGACATATTCAGTTCAGTTTCAAAATGGCGGCTTTTCACTGAGCGATCTAATATATATTTCACACGTTTCGTTTCAAAGAATTGTGCCGGTTTCCTATGGATTTTACGTTGTGTCGCACTCTGGCCTTTCTTGCGTGTTGAATTAGTGTGTTTTTCTTTGTGTAACGACTCGAAAACCCCAAAATATGGACCCAGCGAATTTATACAATATAGTGGAATATAAACAAGGAGTCAAGGACAAGTTAAAGGTTTGACAGTTTGACTTTTTAATTAACAAGTATAAATATACGTTGTAGGCTCATAAACATGCGTTGTGCACTTATATTCATTTGCATAATTATAGATTGGCACCTAATTACACTAATTTGCACCAAATTACTTTCCATTTCATCATATATTACTATAAAATGTATGCTTTCGATTGTATTCAGCGAGGTGGCATTGCGTGCGGCGAAGTGAAACGTGGTACTGTTCGATTGTTTTTTGGAACAAGATTCAACTCCCCCCCTCCCCCCCACTTTCTTAATTCTCAAATTGTTTATTAGATGTTTACTGGTTGGGGTTAGAGAAGGGCTTGGGGTTGGGATCAGTTTATCTTATAAATGGAAGCAAATTGGCGTATTTTTTAGAAGAATCGTCTATGTCTATGAACTCTTTAGCACCTGAAACGAGCCATATATATAATGGCATTAAAAATCAAGGACTATATAATTTCTTCGCTATTATTGGCCTATCATTATTTACGGTTGACAGTTGATGATCATAGTTACAGTGGGCCTGGCTTGTCAGGTTGAGTCGCCCATAGCCAGAAGCAGTGGCGGAAATTCACTTTTTCCGGTGGGGGAGCAAAGCCTCCTAAATTTCCGACAAAACATTCAAATTTCCGACATACCCCCCATTTGCACTCTCGAAAAAGATCATTGTTTTAGCCCTCTTTTAGGTCAAAATTTCGAAAATTCGTCACCTTCCTGTGAAGGTGGGGGGGGGGGGACGGCCGCCCCCCCCCCGTCCCACCAAGACTTGGGAGCTTAAGCATGTAGGACGGCAACACGACGACGACGGCAACCAATACAATTAGTCAATGAAAAGAAATAATTAAAGTCCCAGGGGAGTTTCAGACGTAGTCGTTGCTCTGTTTACAACGGCAAATCATAGATTTTCACATCTTTTATATAACGCCTGCATTTCAACTCGTAACAAGTGCAACTTAAGGTGGCTCCATACAGTTCCGTAGTATAAATCCCTTATTGCGTAAAAAATTCAATTTATAAATTTTATCACTTCATCTATTAATTTTAAGCATTCCCGAGTATAAATTAAGTATTTGGTAGAAAAAATTTGCAATATTCTTGAACATAATATTGTTTTCATGGTAACAGTAGTCTCGCCAAATATGGTATTTTTTTCTATTTTAAGCAGGTTTTTATTATTTATTTTCCGAATATTGCCGGTGACACCCCATTTTTAATTGCTGTATAGCTTTCACTTTTAATGCGGAATCTTATCCCTGAAAATAAAAAAAAATCTGTAGATTAGAAAAACCAGAATAAAAAATTGCAGATTTAGATTTAGCAGGTATCTCACTCGCTCGGCCGAAAGTTTTTCGAGCTCTGCAAGATCAATTAATTGACATGCGCGTACATGTTTTCGCAGGCGCATCTCCAGAAAAACATGCACAAAAAAGTTTTTAGTCTCGTCGAAATATCAAATATATGTTGTGTTTTCTTGCTTAGAAATGCAAATATCTTTAGTTTTGCATGCTAACTCGGGATAACGCCAAGAAAACCGTGATTGTGTCGTTTGGTATAAGATATGTGTGACATGTATGAACTTTTTGGCTTCTCTACATAGTTTTATATTCGTTTACAGTCGTAACTTGTGTGTTTTCATGTTGTTGTTGACAATTTAAAACAGTTTGAGCCGGCGCAAGATGCTGTTTCACTGAATTCCTTTGCTGTTAGTAACACTTTGAATACATTTACCAGTTGTAAGTACAAAAAACTCTGGATATATGAACTTATAAATCACCAAATATTGGAGTAAAAAACTTTTCGCCGGTCTGGCCGATCGCCGGTTTTCACAACAGTTTGAACGTTGAACATTGCATTTTTTACCTTAAAATGTCTTCTAAAAAGACTAGTTATTCAATGTCCAGGGCAAAATAAGGACGAAGTTTGTTCTTTGACAACAAATGAGAACAAGGAAGACTCAAAACATCAAAATAAACATGACTTGTGGTTCGGATTTTAGACAGAAAAAGTTGTATATATTTTTAATATTTTCGCGCGAAAACTCAACATTAGGTATACCAGTCACTGGTACCAGTCCCCCGATGATGAAAAGTGTCTGGCTCCTCCGCAGGCCCTCGTTGTGTCATGGGAAGGTCACGATCTCCAGAGGGCCTGCGGAATCTTGTAAAATGAATAAATGTTGTTTTGAACCTGCTTCGTTAAAGAAGGCAGTTTTATTCTTGCAACGTTGGTGTGGACAACAAACCTTATCGTTAAAAAATGCTTCCTTCCACGTCCTAAGAGTCGCCAGTTTAATTTACAAGTTTCACGCCGCTTTTTTATATCTTGTTTATATTCAAGATTATGTAGAAATTTACTTGCTGACGTGACGCCGGCGCCATTTTTTTTACAAGATTCCGCAGGCCCTCGCCAGATCGTGACCTTCCCATGACGCAACGAGGGCCTGCGGAGGAGGCAGGAAAAGTGTATGGAGCCACCTTAAAATTCGGTTCAGTAGAAGTCTTTCCAAACATAAAGCCAATGTTTTCAACTTCTTATACTGTATTAAATTCATACGAATTATAATATACGACAAGTTTTCTTTACTATCATTTATTTGAAGGAATTTGTTTTGGCCGTCGTCGTCGTTTTGCCGTCCTACATGCTTAAGCTCGCTATTTCCGCCACTGGCCAGACGGTACGCCTGAGCCGGAGTCTTGGTATATTATGGTTGATAGTTGCTGATCATGAATGTATTTATTGGTTGTATTTATATGGTCCAGACCTCCTGTATCCCTATCTACTTCTCTACTACACATTACACGCCAGTGTGAACGCCTGAGCAGGCGTCTTGTTGGTTATATAAGAGGAAAAGTAGAATTCCCAAGTTAGAGCTCTAATATATATATAAAAATCCTTAACGAAATAATTATAGGCTGCATCCATCGGTGTTAGACAAGGTACAGTATACAATGTAAGCCAATATGCTCCGCCGCATTTATATAATAATTTTTGGAAGGAGCGTGAAATTATTTTGCAGGGCGTCAATGCTATTTAAGAGTTCTCCTCAGGAATAATAAAAGTATTTTAACAATTTCATTTCATGCAAATACGTATAACGCCTTTAAACTTTTGTTAGCTCGAAAACTTCGATCTTTCTGTAGCGGTACGAGAATTGAATCGATATTTCATGATATTTTAATTAAATAGAAATAATATGGGAACCATATGTTATGTTATAGATAATGGATTAACGTGATGATAAAGATTGCAAATACAAATTATTAAATATTATATTTTTGTAAATTTAATGTACTTAGGTATGGATGCACGCGTTTCATTCAGTAGTTAAATGTAAACAGTTTATAAATGTCTACTACTCGGTACTATACATCTAATCTACATCACATCACTTGCAGATTGCAAGGACCCTGGCAAACTAGGCTTAGAGAACGGAAGAATTCGCGACGGTCAAATCAGCGCATCATCTAACCATGATTCAAACCATCGTGCACAAAATGGACGTCTGAACTTTATAGCGCACAATGGCAGAACTGGAGCGTGGTCAGCAAAAGTCAATGATGTGAAGCAATGGTTACAAGTTGATCTTGAACAGCTAATCGTGATCACGGGTATAAGCACACAAGGCCGTGCCGATTGTTGTAATCAGTTTGTCAAAACGTACATTGTTTCATACAGCAATGATGGCGCACAATTTCAACCATACAAAGACCAAAATCAAATTAAGGTAATTAAGGGTGTCCCAGAAAAAATTACGCTGTTTGATTTAGTAAAAGGGAAAAATTGAACAGCTATTTTACTCAAATAAGTTCTATTGTATTCAGAAAGGGCAAACTCAGTGGTGTAACTTCGTGTTAAGAGGGAGATGGGGTTGGCATGCAGTTATAATTGAAGATTCGTTTGTTTCGTAGTGCAGGGGCCCTCTCAGGCATGGGGCCCCGGCTCTTCCCATGCACGACCATTAGGAGTTACGCCACACATTAAAACAACGCTACGAGAACTTTGTGATTGATATTGGCGCCGACATAAAATGTTGACGCCATTTCTGCCATTTTGCAGCAAGAAAAAGAAAAACCTGGAAAAAACTGTGAAAAGCTGTTACTGCATGCTCGTTTGGCAAAGAACTAAACGAACAACTTCATGTAACATTAAATATTAACCATAATCCAGTCACATGACAAGTGTCGAAACCACCACTACTAATAATACAGTTCCAGGCCAGTAGAACCACCTTTAATTTGTTTCTGATTTCATTTTCAAATATTTACACCAGGGGCCAGTTGTATAAAAAGTGATTAAAGTTACGTGGAAACGTCATCCAATAAGAAGCGCGTATTTGAGAGTTAATCACTATTTAACTACAAAATAGTGATTAAAAAAGTGATTAAGAGTTTTATACAACCGGCCCCTGTTTTTTTAATAATCATGGTCAGTACAACTCTCATTGCTTCTCTAAGCATCACTCATTTCATGTACTCGTCCAAGATCCATGCATGAGTTGAAACGTTTGTTCTTTTCTCCTTCACTACTACGTGCTGTAATTGTGGGTGGCCTTACTTTGTTTGACATTCTTTCTTGTATCGTACCCTGATCGTAGCTCATATAACCCAAATCTTCGTAATGAGGACGATGCAATTAAATTCATCGGGCAAAAGAAAACGGTGGGTGTAAAAACCACTAAAAATATTATTTTTACGACAATGTTGAGTTAAATGAATGCCATTTATTTATTTATTTATTTATTACATTAACTCCTCACTCAAACATTTTTTGGAACATATTTCTTGGATTTCTTTTAATTTTAAAATTGTACATGCAACTTAGGTATGTACTTATTTTGTATTTAATTCAATAAAAATTCGATAACATTGTCATTGTCATATCGGCTGTCGCCTCGTGAACGGAAAATTCCATCTTTTACCTTATGAAAATATTATTACCATTGCACTGATAGATATTCAGTATTTGCACACTATTTGGTTAAGCTTGATACATGGGTTTCATTATGGTCAAAAGAACGCAAGTACATACAGCATAATTGTTTCAAAAATCAATATTTGTTCAACAGAAAAAGCTTTTCCTATGGTAAAAGTACATTTGTCTAGCCGGAGAAACCATGTCAGCAAAGGAATCGATTGGATTATCATAATCCGACGTTTGGTATGCTTAATTTAAACAAATGTCTCACGATGTTGTCTCACAGTGAACTAAATGTATTTCAACGTATAGATAATAATAATAATAATAATAATACTAACATTTATATAGCGCCTATACCAGAATGTTCTAAGCGCTTTACAAAATTAAATCTAAGCTATAGTTTTATGAAATTATTAAGTTATTTACAAGTTGATGAAAATATATATATATATAAAATGTTACTATGCAATAAAATAGTTGTTTAATCAAGTTTAAACGCTAATTTGAAAGGATAGGTTTTTAATTTAGATTTAAAAATATCAAGGTTAGAGCAAGACCTAAGGTCTAATGGTAAATTGTTCCATAACATTGGTGCTGAGATTGTAAACGATTTTGCCCCATAAGATTGAAGATTAAATCTTACTTGTTTTAATAAAAAAGCAGACGAAGAACGAAGAGTTCTTGAGGGAGTATAGTATTCAATCATCTCTGTTAAGTACTTTGGTGCAAGTTCATTTAAGGCTTTAAAGGTCAGCAGGAGTAATTTAAATTTAACTCGATATTCAACTGGTAACCAATGCAAGTTAATTAACACCGGCGTGATATGGTCGTATTTGCAGGACTGGGTTATAAGTCGCGCACAGCAGCATTCTGCACATGTTGTAGCTTTTTTAGTTGGAACTTGGGAACCCCATAGAGTAAGGAGTTACAATAGTCCAATTTGGAACTGATAAAAGCATGAACAAGGATTTCGGTAGATTTTGGAGTTAGAAATTTCCTTATTCTTGCAATATTCCGCAAGTGATAGAAGGCTCCTTTGCAAACAGAGTTAATTTGTGGTATCATAGTCATGTTTTTATCAAAGATCACGCCAATATTCCTTGCCATATCTGAAGGAGTAATGTCATATCCACAGTTTAGAGAAAACACTGGTGATGGGCGATAGCGAGAATGGATAACCAGGAGTTCAGTCTTATCTCCATTGAGTTTGAGTTTGTTTAGCAGCATCCATGTCTTTATATCAGCAAGGCAGTCTTCAATACGTTGGGCCGTAGAACTTAAATCATGTTCATCATTGCATGCAAATTAAGTATATAACTGGGTGTCATCTGCATAGAAATGAAATAGCATGTTATGACGCCGTAGAATATCAGCCAAGGGTGATGTATAGAGTAAATACAAAATTGGGCCAAGCACAGAACCCTGAGGAACACCACAGGTCATGTTGTGAGTTTCAGACTTAGAACCATCAATATTCACGAACTGAGAGCGATTAGTCAAGTAAGATCGAAGCCAATCCAAGGCTTTTCCTTTTATGCCAAATCTAGTTCTTAAACGGTGAATCAAAATTTCATGGTCTACTGTGTCAAATGCAGAAGAGAGATCGAGGAGTAGAAGTACAACACAGTTGTGACTATCCAAAGCACGTAGGATATCGTTCTGTACTCTAATCAGAGCAGTTTCACAACCATGGTATCGTTTATATGCAGATTGGAATGGTTCATGTAGGTTGTTTTCGTCAAGGTACAGGTAACTGATTAAACGAGAGGCTACGGTTTTTTCAATCACCTTAGAAACCATCTTAAGATTCGATATCGGTCTGAAATTAATAAATTCCTGATAATCCAATGAAGGTTTCTTTAAGGTCGGAGTTAACACAGCCTTTTTCAAAGTAGATGGCATATGACCTGATTCCAATGATAAATTGACAATTTTACAAATAACTGGTAGAAGATAATTTATTTGAGGAATAAGTAATTTAGCTGGTAATGGGTCAAGGACACATGATTTGGACGCGATGGGATATATATTAAATTTGATAATTCATCCACAGTGGTTGGTGGGAAGGTAAACAGCTCCGACTCGGGGGGGAGGGAAGTATCAAATTCTGGTAGATGAGTCAGAGCAAATTCATCATTGGCTAATTCTTCCCTAATTTTGACAATTTTGTTGGTGAAAAAGTTGTTAAATTGGGTTGACAGTTCGTTGAGCGACTCACATGACGGATAGAATTTCTCAGGACGCCTATGGAGGAGACGATCAATAGTGTGAAACAGTTTCTTATTGTCTGATCCCGCTTCCTCAATCAAGGAAGAATAATAATTCGCTTTTGCAGTATTAACTAATTATTTGACCAATAGACACTGATTAATGTAAACCTGTAGATCAACTTGGAGACCAGAACGACGCCAGCATCGTTCGAACTTGCGCCTCTTGGATTTTTGCACTGCAATATCCTCATTGTACCAAGGAGCTGCTGGTCGTTGGATGACGGTTTTAGTCAATAGTGGCGCATGATCATCAAGGATTGAAGATAAAACCTTGTCATATTGGTCACAAAGTTCCAAAAGAACAGGCTGAGGCGATAGGTATAGTGACGAGTTGATTATGTCATTGCGCAGCTTTTCTGTGTTAATTGATCGAATTTTCCTGCATGTTACAATTTTCTTAATTTTAGTAGGTTTAGCCAAATTCAAGTTACAATGTAAAACAAAGTGATCTGAAATGACAGGATCATTGACAGATAAATTGCAGACAGTCTCTTCATCTGATCTGGTGATAATGAGATCCAAAGTGTTACTATTTTTATGTGTTGGCGTGCTAATGTGCTGTATAAGATTGAACGAGTCAAGTAAGTCCAGAATGACCAGAAACTTAAGAGCAGTTGCATCAGACGTATCGTTAACATGGATATTAAAGTCCCCGGTTATGAGCAATTTACCAGAAGAAGATACCAGTAACTCCAGAAGAGATGAAAATTCATCAAAGAACAAGTTAACTGTAAAACCATTAGTTGATGATGGGGGAGGGCGGTAGATTACCACAATACGTGTAGTCACGGAGTTCTTATGAAGCAGTAATTGCATCAGCTCAAATGATTTTTCGGTCTTAAGTTTTTTAATTTTTAAGGAGTGCTTAAATATAATGCCAACTCCCCCACCAGAGCCAAATTCCCTTGGAACATGGGAAAATACATAACCTGAAGGACAAATATCACGCGTTGTAAATTCACAATTCTCATGACCTTTAAGCCAAGTTTCTGTGAGAGCCATAATATCTATATCATTATCCACAATGTAATCTTTGATTTGTAGTGTTTTGTTCTTTATTGATCTAGCACTTAGGACAGCAAGTTGAAGCAATTTTAAACCAGGCTTGTTTGTAAATTGAATTGGTGTTTGCTGAACTGGAATTAAGTTATTCAAATTGCGACTCTTGTTCACTGACCTGTATCTTGCATGATAATGACTATAATGGCGCTTCGCTGTATAAAATCTATTTGAGACGATAGCTTCAATATTATAACAGCCATTTTCACCCGATCGAAAGATGTCAATGCCAACACTATATGTAGGGCTTGATATAGAACCAGTTATGGTTTTACTTAGCTTATCTTTGTTCCAACATCCCATTGGTAACGACTGCTCTCCAGTATGAAAATTCCGATTAGTTAGTGTTCTTGTCTGCTGAGAAAGATTTTCCATTCCCCTTGCTGGTCCTGGGTTTAAAGCAATATCCTGATAAATGGTAATATCCAACGGTGGATCATGTCCCGGTATATGCAATGATATTAAGCCATGTTTACAGTATTTATTCACCACTAGCCGTGATTTAAAATATCCATTCGAGGCCAGTGTTATTCGGCATCTTTTACATAACTTGATAACAAATATATGTCCAGATTCCAGATCATACAGGCTTCGCTTAGTAGAATTCAACAGTGAAGCTTGTAAAGTAATCGTAGATTTTCTAATTGGTGACTTTACAGAAATGAGAAGTACGAAATACGACAGAAATAATACAAAATTTATAGAGTAACCCACCAATTAACGTACTGGCGGCCATTTTAAAATTTTAGTTCACTGTTATTTGTCTCAATGTCTCATGTTTCTTGCCTGTTTGTAATTTGTTTGTCTGCATGCACGTTCTAAATCAGTTCTTTGCTTTAATTCCCAAGGTGAACTGCATTGAAATTAGTTCAACATATGCCGTTTTTTATTAACTTTTATTCAAACATTTATATCTCACTTAGTGTTGAAGAAGTACCAAAATTTAAGTTTGCCTACAATGAATATAATAAAACTTATGTTAGTGCAATAAGTGTTATAGATTTTACGTTATATTATATCAAACAGCGTAACTTTTTTTTTGGGGGGGGGGGCACTCGGTGTTAAATATTATACATTAAACATTGGTTCTACTAGATCAATTTTAATAATTTATTCTGTGTCAAACTTCATCTTTTAGATAGATTTTCTTCGATGCCTATACCACTAACTAATAAATACATGTCTAAAAATCTGGATAAATTTGTTCTTTAGTTACTTTGTTGGCTTGAATTAAGTATAAACTATGCCAGGCTGTCAACAACAGAGATGCTATAACTGGGGCCTGAGAAGGCATTGTTGTGCGGTATGAAATCCATGTATCACACTTGTCTGTACACTAAACAGCTAATTACGCATGTGTGCTCATTTCTAGGTTTTCAGTGGTAATACAGACAAATTTTCAATGGTACATCACGATTTCTCTTCACCAATCTTTGCTCGATACATTCGCATCCAACCAAAGACATGGAACGGACACATTTCTTTGAGAATGGAACTTTTTGGATGCTATAAAGGTAATATACTTCTTCATACTGATTGGTTGTTGATAATTGTTGATAAGTGTGATCATGGTAACCCTTTTTTTTAAATCTGGTTAACTCAGTCTACGATTTGGTGGTTACAACGAGGTCATGTCATGTAAACAAATTAAATCAGATGTTCAGATCTATGGCTGAACAATAAACAGCAAAATATATCGACATAATTACGTGCTTGCAAAAGCATTATGTAATATCCAGTCAATATTTTCGCTTTAGTATATATACAGCATATGTCAGCGTATGTATACTCTTCAAGTGTTTTCTTGTTTCTCACATGCATCTTCAGCAATTACTCTTAGACATTTCTTGAACGCTTCTTACCTAATTTTCTATGATCCATTCTAATAAAAGTCCACACCACTCCATTGAAGTATTGGTGATTCAAATAGTGTAAAAATATATAATTCTTTGAATAGATTGTGTTGGTACAAAGGACCTGGGAATGCGTAGTGGTAACATCCAGGTCTCACAAATCACAGCTTCGTCGGAATGGGATTCCAACCATCGCCCGAACAACGCTAGATTGTTCTTTACAGCACGAAATGGAAGAACAGGAGCTTGGTCTTCAAAAACAAATGATCTTAACCAATGGTTACAGATTGATTTCAAACGACAAGCTGTTGTGGTTGGTATCAGTACTCAGGGAAGAGAAGATTGCTGTTCACAGTGGGTCAAAACCTACACGTTGTATTACAGCATCAACGGGGTATCATTTTTCCCATACAAACATCATAGCCAAGTCAAGGTAGGTACATTGTTGATATCATGGCAGAGTCTAGTGTCGGTGAAACAGTAGTGGAACAGTGGCTAATGCCTTTTATCTCTGCGATCATGGTTCTATTTATGCATTCCTATTATCAATTCGTCTTATTCCTGTGTAAAAGGATCGTTCTAGTTTGACTTTACCAACACCACAGGTTATACAAAAATAGGAGGAATTTGGAGTGTCTGATAAACACATTAAGAAATAACCCTTATAGCATTTTTAAGTATTTCTACAGTAAAGAGAGCAATTTCGAACCGATTAATTATTCAATATTCATGTGACATCTTTGAAATTGCAATTGATTCTTATCATCAGTGATATTTTTAAATATCACTGATGATAATATTATTAAAATAAACATCATTTTGAGAGTGCATGTATAGGATACAATACTAATGATAGACGGTATAATCTCACTTTAGGTATTCAATGGTAATACAGATAAACATTCTGTAGTTCACAATGCTATTTCACCCGCCATTGTTGCTCGATATATCACACTTGAACCAAAGTCATGGAATGGACACATCTCTCTTCGTGTTGAATTTTATGGATGTTGAACAGTATTCGCAACAATCTGAAGTGAGTATCATTAGTAATATAATTTCATCTTGATTTTCCCATGATTATTTAGAATTAACAGTTCTCCTTGTTAGGAAGGTAATGGGATTTGAAAAAGTTTTGAATGAATGAAGTGGATGATGGCTACAAAGACATACGTTCACTTTAAGTGCACAGATTTCCAGCTCTCTTTGAAAGAAATTCAAAATTACGTAATATCAAATTACGTAATATTTAAAAAATTACCAAATAAAATTACGTAATATTTAAACCCAGGCAAAAAAGGCAAGTGTATAACCTGGCACTTGCGATTAACAATAACATAATTGACAGGGTTAAAGAAGTCTGTTTTCTTGGTGTTATTTTGGACGAGAATTTAACACGCTAAACAACAGGCACGCAGAACAATGAACGTTTGTGCATCTTCCAAGCAATCTTTATTTTTCAACCAACGACGACTTTTCTAACGTTTTACAGCAAGAAAACTTGCCCTGTTTATTACAATGTCTTTGTTTCTTATTTGACAAAAACTCATTTCCCCTTTTCTCTATTTTCTAGGTACTTGTATTGGTTATATAAAAGTAAAATGTTTTGATAATAGTTTTTAGAGAACTGCACTGCACAAGTCATTTTAATGTCAAGTAGAGAGTTTTTGCGCACTATTTTAGCGATTGATAGGCCATTTCTAAATATTGTTCAGATCACTGTGATTATAGTATTACTATATGATAAATGTAACTTCACGTATACGACGATTTTGTCATTTAATAAGACTAGTAAATTGATCCCTTGTATCCTTAAGGTAATTCCGCAGTTTTGCATTGCGCACTTTTACTGCGCACATCTTATAACTTATAATTTTATCCATTATACGTACAGTTTAAAAAAAAATCATTTTATGACAATTTTATGTTACTTAAAAACTTCTTTGGTTACATTCGTGCAAAGAATTACGTTAAAATCAATGTTAAATTAAAAGAAAAATCATTTCTCGATCTTGAAAAAAATGCTTTATCAATGCATGTTCTCAAAGAAAGATATGTAAAGAAATGTGGAAAAGACATTTGTGGATCAGAATTGTACACGTTAGTAGTTTCATTTTGCTCAAAACACAATATTTTTTTCAAAAATAATTACATGATAGGTTTACTAAAGCAAAATCCGCGCTAAAAACGTCAATAAATATCGGGCTGTTGTGGTTTTGCTGTTACTCGTAATGAGCGTCAAGATGGCGCCATATTGGGGTAAAGGTGGTATATTGTGATTGTCATATATTCTTAACGAGTTCGGTGACCCCGACTTTTTTGTGTGATTTTACTTTAAGTATATCATAAACTCCGGATCCAAGCCTGAGAAGTTTCAGCACATTCTCATTTCGGGAACAATTACTGCGGAATTACCTTAAGCCCATATTCTCTTGCATCTTAATTCCATCGCCCCATCCTATCCTTTCCCTTGCACGAAATCTTTTCCCTCTTACAACTTGACTTATTTTTGTTTTTCTACGCTCTTTATTAACTTCCTTGTTTGGGAGATGCTCCCTGAGTGCTATTACTTGAACCTATTTCAACATCCTCACCTCAATTCTCCCTGATAGCCTCTTTTTCTTAGTTTAATTTATAGAGTTTCTCACTCAGTGGTAAGCACATTTCGCAACAGGATATTGCCCAATTAATAGGGGACCCGCGAAGTAATAATAATAATAATAATAATAATTACAATATTTAGTCAGGGGTTCCACTCACAAAAATGATTTTCAGTGGATGGAGTCCTGATAAAAAAAAGCTAACAAAAGTGAATATATGAAAGGTTATATAGTATAATGTTCTAGCGCATCCTGTCAGTTCAATAGAGTGTCCTATGTACTATTTAAACATGAGCAGCAGACGTGTTTTATCAGTTATAAAGATACAAGGCGAAGCCGAGTATCTTTAGGTCTAATAAAACACGCATGTAATGTGATTCAATTAAGATTAACTGCTACTAATATTAACTATTACTAATGGTAGAATACTCGAGTGACCAAAAGAAAATAATTAAATAAACTTATTCGCTGAAAAGCACAAACAAAATAAAACGACAAAAAACAACAAAAAACAAAGTATACGTACGTGTGAAATAGAGTAGGGCCTACGAGAAACCTATTTCAGTATAGTTAAATATGGCAGAACCAAACGAGGTAAATACCGCGAGAAATCTCACAACATATCAAGTGATACCTCCGTCGAAATTTAGCTTTAAATCCTCGGAGTGGACCCAATGGATTCGTCGTTTTGAGCGATTCAGAACTGCGACAGAACTCGACAAGAAAGAGGAAGCCAAACAAGTCAACGCGCTTATATATACTATGGGCGACGAGGCAGATGACATAATAACATCGTTTGGTCTAGCTCAGCGAACAAGAAATGAAAAGCTACGAAACAGTTCGAAACAAGTTTGAAAATCATTTCATCGCCAAACGAAACGTTATTTTCGAAAGAGCAAAGTTCAACGTTCGAATTCAAGACGAAAACGAACCTGTGGAAAGCTTTATTACCGACCTGCATTGTCTTGCTATAAAGACTATAAAGTATTGCGAATTTGGCGTATTAAAGGGGCCCTACAGTAACTTTTTAGTCGAAAAGCCACCTTAAGTATTGTTTACATTTTTTTGCATGCGTCTTCCGGTGTGCGGAAGTACTCATACTCATGGATACTGCATGTAAGATACAGCCAAACGAATCTCCGTGGAGTCCCCTATTTAAGGTGGCTTTTCGACTAAAAAATGACTGTAGGGCATTCATGGACAAAAATCGACCCGAAGTAGCGAGCATAATATTGCCAACATTTCTAAGAATAGAAAACCCTCGCGTGACTCGAAAATACGGCAAAATGGACGGTAAATCCAAATGTACGCGGTGTCTCGGACCAGCGCACTCCAGGCAATTCTGCCCAGCAAGTGAGTCCACCTATAATAACTGTTCAAACAAAGGACATTGGGCAAAAGCGTGTCGAAGCCAAGCAAGCCAACAACTTCGCAAGAAACAAGTTAACGAACTAACTTCCCAGAAGATGTCTACTTTTTGGGCGACGTCGTACACCTCGACACTATCAATAAATCTGGCAATAAACCGTGAACTGTGTGTTGGTATGACTTCAGACGTTATTAGAACTTTCGATACGATAACAGACTTACATAAAGTACTGACTGAGATAAGAGGCGAGCCCGCGGTAAATAGGACGACAACGTGTAAACAACGTTGGGGTTTTTGGTTTTAATACACCACAGTGTTTTACCGCTCAAAAGGCTTAATAATTCGACGATATTTGTAAAGAAATAAAAGTTTATACATTGTTTAAGTACATTATCGTTTTCTTTGTGTAATTATGTTTGCATGCGCGTTGAAATACGTGGGTATATAGCGATACCAATACAGTAAAACACTAGTGATCGAAGAAATCAATCAAGACGGTGACGTTCGTGAGCTATAAAGAAGCCGACTTTAAAGGAGTTTTGCCTGCCAGATACTCGAAGTTGCTTGACGTAGTTATCATTGGGTCATTGGTCGATGTTATGAACTAAAATATGAGTGTCCAAAACAAGAAACAAGAGAGAAGTAAGGCCAAAACGGCGGTTAGTTTGGCCTCGAGGCGGCTTATCGGTGCAGCCCACCGAGGAACAGAATATGATGTGTTGAAGAGTTTAATAATCGAACTCGAAAAGGCGTACGATGATTTCTGTGTAGCAAATGAAGAGTTTGAACTTCTCGTGTCAGAGGAAGAGAACAGTGAACATCGTGTTGTGAACGGAGAGGATGTTAGTGAGTATAGAGACAATGTTAAACAGTGTTATAATGAGGCTAGGGAAGTATTCTTGGAACAAAAGGCTGCTGAGCAAGAAATAAGCAAAAAGTTAGCAGTAGAACCAGCGAGAGTTGCCTTAAAGCTAGATTCTAGTCGAATAAGTGAGTTAATCGAAACAGTTGATATAAACATGAACTCTACCAGTCCAAATAAACGAGCATTGCATTTAGACAAAGAAGAATTGCAGGCAATGTTAAATGTGTTGTGTGGGAAAATCTCTGAATTGAGTTTGATTGGGTCTTCAAAATCAGAGCAAGATATTCAGTTACATCTTGAGATTGATAAGATTATTGCACAAGGTTTTAAACAGGTTAGATCCATAAATCTGTACCTATGTGACTGTCAAAGTTCAATCGAAAAGACTCCATCACCCCCTATTGTAAATCAAGTAGATACTGTGGTTGCATCTGCTGCAGTTCTTGATATAGACTCCCAAAATAGTGCAACCTCTAGTGGCCCACCTGTGACCAATCCCAGTACTCAAATTGACCACACCCCTACCAGCCCCTCCAAGGAAGGGACAGTGAGTGACATCCCCCCACCTGCAGTTACAGAGATAGATACTACCATCAATGTGTCTGCACCTGAATTTGTACCTTCAACAATGAATGATCCAGTGAGTAGTTCTGTAATCAGTGTCCAGTCCACCTATACATGTACCAATCCCCAAGCCATACCCCAAAGTGCAAGTACATCACAGCAAACCTTTCCTATTTTAAATCAATACCCAACCACCAGCATCATGCACCACCCCCCTCCACAGATCAATCATCTACAATCAACTCACCCCACCACTTAAGTACCAGCACCGCCCCAATCTACTTTTTTTATTTTATTATTATTTTTTTATTATAGAAAGATTACACATTGAATAGCTACAGTAAGTAACTAAATTAGAACGCGCATTACATATATATAGAAAATATACATTAATTACTGAACTATCTACATTAGGTATTATAAAAGTTTCAAATGAGATATTTATATTAAAAAAAGAGAGTTATTAACAAAGGTTCAAATGGCGAAACAAATGGACTGATCCAAAAACTATCACTACGTGTTAAAAATGTTTCGATAAAAATATATAAAGTTATATTATATATTATATTATAAAATAGAGTTATTATAGAGTTCAATTGACGAAACGATTGGACTGTTCCGAAAACGTTCTGTTCTGTAGTGGTAATTGTAAAACAATTGACCATTCTGACGTGTAACCCTTTGCCGTACCTTGCAAAGTTTATTAGGAAGAAGATGGTGCAGTTTGTGTTGCGGGTCAGACATTTTACTGATAAGATCAATGCACATAGTATTGCGACGTTGTTCAAGCGTATGCATTCCAGCTTTCAACAATAACTTTTCGTAATCTTTTTCGGAATAAATTATTCTCAAAGCCCTTCTTTGTACTTTCTCAATACTGCTGCTCTGTGCTTTAGTAAGGCCCCCATGCCAGACTTGCGCTCCATATTCAAGTGTCGGCCTGATGGCAGAGATGTAAAACCGTTTCATATCAATCTTGTCAGCACCGTATTTCTTTAAAGTTTTTAATAAAAAGAGTCGCTTAACTGCTTTCCCTATTATATAATCAGTATTAGTTTGCCACTTTAAATTATCGTCAATCCATAAGCCCAATAGTTTGAAAGTTGAAACCCTTTCCAACGTTGTATCATTGAATGTTAGTGGTGGAATAACTGTTTTGTTCTGACGGAAGTCTAACTGCATTTCCTTACATTTTTTCAGGTTCAACTCCATTTTTTGAGACGTGGCAAAATCCATAACTTTCATAATATTATTGTTCATACTCCCAACTTGCGTACCCGAGACATGATCACGGACGTTAATAACCTCTGACAATGTTGTATCATCCATGAAAAGAGTGAGGTCATCATCACCATCATCATTATCATCATTGCTTGAATTAGTCAGACTGCTCTCGGTATCTTTTATCACTGCCTTCAGTCCGTTAATGTGAACGACGAACGCGATTGGACCAATACGACTACCTTGGGGAACTCCCCCATTAATCATGCATCTTGTAGAAAGTTCGTTACCAAATCTTGTGACTTGCATCCTCTTACTCAGATATGACCCCAACCAGCCAATAAGCCCCGGTCTGACTCCAATTTTACAACAGTTGTCTAATAGCAGGTTGTGATCAATAAGATCAAATGCCTTGCGAAAGTCCAAAAACACAATTCGTATTACTCGTTGTGATAAGTCCAACGCTTTATTCCATTTGTGTAGAAGGTGAACGAGCGCAAGAACTGCTGACGAGCGTGGGACACCACCATACTGTTCCTTACAAATTTTAGACTCAATATCGTCATACATCCAATCAACCACGTAAGACTCCTGTATTTTTGAAATTGTGCTAGTGAGAGCTATTGGTCTTATTTCATCCAGATTCGTGCACGGTTCCACTTTTGGTATAGGTGCTAGGCGGAACTCTTTCCACAGTTTTGGAAACACCTTCTGCCCAAATGATGCATTAAAAATGTTTGCTAATGGGATGGCAAAAGAATGCGCAAACATTTTGATTATCTTGAGGTAGGGGTCGTTTGGACCGGGAGCTTTGTGAGACTGAATGGACAAAAGCTTTTTCGCAACGCTTTCGGGTGTAACAGTCGGCAAGACATCTGAATGACCGTACAATGACCATCTGGATTGAATTTCTGGGAAATCATTTGTTAGATCTGCAAAAAACGTATTAATCATATTTGCAGCATCACTATCTTCGAGTTTGGAGTCTGATCCCTGCTCACTGAGATTGATAGAAGGTTTCTTCTTTCCAGTCAGTTTCCAGACCTTCTTCCACCACATTCGGGCATCCCCGTTGGTATTCAGCCTTCCAATGTTCATTACATAATAGTGCCTCTTTGCCTTTGTAATTTCCGATGCTACTCTATTACGAAGTTTCCTAAACTTCTGCATTCTTCCTTGTTTGTATGCGTTATCTCGCTTCCTTAGTAACTTTTTTATTTTTGTTGTTATAAAAAATTTATCATCGGAGTGCATTCGAACTGTTCTCTCCGGGAAATAGTAATTAATCATGTCGTTAGTAGCTCTGGTGAAATCCTCAACCTTTTCATCTACGTTCTCAAGGTTTAGTACGGTTGACCAATCATATTGGGCAAGACAGGAACCAAATTGTTGCAGGTTATATCTTGGCGTTGGACGAAATTTAATTTTCTTCACAATGTTTACCGAGCGCTGCTGTGATTTCGCCATCCAAATAACCATATTATGGTCTGAGGTAGACAGTGGTGCAATTACTTCAGGGTGGTTATAATGTGAGCTCATGTTAGTAAAAATAAGATCTAGGATATTGGAGTTTCGTGTCGGATCCTTAACCACTTGCTTTAAAATCACAATAGTCAGAAAGACGCTTCATATCAAAACCGTTGCTGCAGGGATTAAAATCTCCAGCCACAATAAAACCTGTTTCTGGACTTTCAGATGATACTTTGTCATAACACGAATAAAAATAGTCATAAAACTTTTCTAAGTTTACTCGATCAATTGAGGGAGGAAGGTATACACAAGCAACAGCAATTCTCGAAATTGTTCGTGGAAGCCACTTTGGACGCAGAATTAGCCACTGACATTCAAAGCTCGAGTCAGAGAGATCATCACGAGTTCTTATTGAAAACTCTTTACGGACATAGATCCACAGCCCCCTCCAGAACCGATTTTCCTATCCTTACGTATCAAAGTAAATTGTGGGATGTTAACAACTTCACTGGGTATATTGTCCGCTAGCCATGTCTCCGTGACAATGATGATTTCAGCTTTATGCTCGTTTGAATAATATTTTAATTCATCAATTTTCCCCATAATTGATCTCGCATTTACGAGAAGCACATTTGGTAAGGTTCGGGCGGTTGGGTGATATGATGGACTCTCTTTTTTAAGGTAGATCAGGTTTCTAATCACAGGGTTAGATTTTTGTTTGTAGTACTGATAGGGACGCTCGTCACTTCGGTTTGTAGTAATTACGGGTATTGAAAAACAATTGGTTGTATTAGTGGTGGGTGCTACTTGTCCCCACCTGTCAATCCCACGTCAAGTTTTCCACCAAATTCGATTGGCTTACACCAATACCCAAGCAACACCCAACCCCACCTTGGTACAAGTATGACCCAAGCAACGTTACAGCAAACTTTCAGTAACACCAATCCATACCACAACACCCCCCTACTACCACACCATAGTATGACCACAAATCTTTATAACAATGTTCCTCCACAGAATTTGGTAAGTTTACCAGATACAAGTATGTATTTGAGCAGTGTGTCCCCAAGCGCTCCAACTACCAGCCCATCAACATGGAACCCACTGCAAGTACCAGTGACTTATTCTACTCCCAATGCGAGCGAGACATATTTGGTCAATCCCAGCACAGTCCCAATCCCCTCAGTCAGTCCACAACCTACACCTCACCACAGCCCTAATTCACTGGGTTTCAATTCTCGGGTCCAGGTAAAGAAAATGGCTTTGCCAACATTCAGTGGTAACCGCAAAGAGTGGCCAGAGTTCAAAGCGATTTGGAAATCAGTCGCTGAGACAGCATATCAAAATAAGACTGCTCTGGCTCATGAGCTTAAAAGATCGGTAAAGGGTGAGGCAAGTCGACGAATCTATGTCAGTCTATGTCACCAAACCGGAAGCATACAATGTCATGTGGCAGAAGTTAGAAAGTTTCTACGAAGATGTTGGTGCAAGTGTACAAGCTGCACTAGAAGATTTACATAAGATTAAAGCTGTACCGACAGATGATTACAAAGGCTTGGTAGAACTTGTAGACGAAGTAGAATCAGCGTATAGTCAATTGGAAGAGTTGGGAAACCTAAATGTTTTGACGTTGAGAGATGTTGATTTAATCACCGAACTGCTACCATGTTATTTGAAAGTAGAATGGCGAAGAAGATATAGGGACATCACGGCCATTGAAAAGATACATCCTTTCATCCCTTTCATGCATTTTCTCGAAGGCGAACGAGAAGCAGTCTCTCGAATAGCCGAGTACCAGCCAAAGGGAAGTATGAGCGAAGTATGAGCGAAATATGAGCGAAGAAAGCAACATGTACAAGGTTATCATGCAGGAAAGCAATCCTCAAAGAAGTATTACAAGTGTGCCTATCCATCTCACAGAAAGGACAGTATCAGTCATACCACATCAGAATGCAAAGAGTTTCAGAAATTACCGGTTAGCGGGAGAGAAGGAAAGTATGAACTCTTAAAACAAATTGATGCTTGTTTCAAATGCTTTGGAAACCATAGAAGGCTAGACTGTCCCAAGAAAGTTCC